AGTTGAGTGGCACTAAGTACATTCGTGTTGTGCGACCTGGGCCACCATCCATCTGCAGAATGTTTTCATTTTCCCAACTTAAGCTCCACACTCGTCAAACATTAACTCCAGTTCCCTTCTTCCCCCAGCCCCTGGCAACCACCATTCTACTTTCTGCCTCGATGACTCAGCCTGTCTCAGTTGCCTCACATAGGTAGATTCATATGGTGTTTGTCATTCTGACTTATTTCACTTTGTTTTAACTGTGTCTTGTGTGCTCCATTACTCTCTGGCAGGGATTATTGCTTACTAGAAACTCTGGATTTTCTCTGAGATTTACATATAATTTGCTCGCTACCTTCTTAGCTATTTATGATCTTTGTATTTTTACCCTGTTGAAGGAAAATTTCCATCAATGGAAGTGACTTGATGGAATGTTTACTTTTTCTTTATTTTTACAAATAGCTCTTAATTGAGTCAGGATTTTAGATGATTATACATGAGATACAACATGAGATCCTAACTTTGCCTAGTGGATATCACAATAAAAGTGCAAATTCTGCCCTTCTCTGCCACTCCCCAAAGAGAAGACATAAGAACGCGTTTGTGTGAGAGGTTGGTAGTAGCAGAGATGAGAGCTCAGTAGATGGGGAGTGTGAATATTGTTTTAGGCTCTTCTGTTCAGAGGTAACTTCTCAGCCTTTCTCCTTTCAGGTGGTATACCTTGAAATCCAAGCCAGGAAAGAAGGATAAAGTGCGAGGGGAAATCGAGGTTGACATCCAGTTTATGAGAAACAACATGACGGCCAGCATGTTTGACCTTTCCATGAAAGACAAATCTCGGAATCCATTTGGAAAACTGAAGGACAAGATCAAGGGAAAGAACAAGGACAGTGCCTCTGATACTGCTTCTGCCATCGTCCCTAGCACGACACCTTCAGTTGATAGTGATGATGAGTCTTCGTCCAAAGACAAGAAAAAGAAATCCAAGATCAAGACCTTGTTTTCCAAGTCGAATCTGCAAAAAACTCCACTTTCCCAGTCCATGTCTGTTCTGCCGACTTCAAAGTCAGACAAGGTCCTGCTTCGTCCTGGAGACTTTCAGTCCCGGTGGGACGATGACGACAATGAGGACGAGTCCTCCTCAGCCTCAGATGGTAAGTTTCTGCCTTCTTCTCACTCAGCCCCTCTTCCTCTACTCAGCCTGCTTTGTTCTGAGAGAGGAGGAACAGATGCATCTTAGGAACTCAGCTCCTCAGATACTAAACAATTGTGATAATGATGGGTGAACCTGGTTAAGACGCTTTCTCTATTTGTAAGCCCTCTGATTTCTGACTGTGTAAATTCCTTTTCCAAAATGTCTGGCTCTATAACTGATGTGCAAAAATACAGGCTTTTGGAGCTGACAGAATGAGTACATCCAAGTTTCTGTTTTTGCTTTTTTTTTTAAGGATAAGACCATGGACCCCTTACCAGTTAATTCTGATATTTCATGAATTCACCAGACAGTTATTGAACTACTGTGAACTGCTTAACATTCATGGGATACATCCTTGATAGAAACCTTTAACCCTGAATTTATTGTGTATTTTAAACTTTAGTTTCAATGACTACATCTCTCTTCTTGGCTAGATTCTGCTACTCTGTCAAGAGTGCTGCCCTTTTTTTCAGTTTAATACAGGGTTTCTCAGCCCCGGCCCTTTTTTTTTTTTTTGAGTCAGGGTCTTACTCTGTCACCTAGGCTGGAGTGCATTGGCACCATCATAGCTCACCACAGGCTTGATCTTCTGGACTCAAGTAATCCTTCTGCCTTAGCCTCCTAAGAAGTTAGGATTTAGAGACATGTACCACCATGCCTGGCTAATTTTTGTACTTTTATTTTTTGTAAAAACAAGGTCTTACTCTGTTGCCTCAGGCTGGTCTTGAACTTGGGCTCAAGTGATTCACCTGCCTTGGGCTCCCAAAAGTGCTGGGATTTCAGATGTGAAAGCCTGGGCTGCCAGGCTCGGTGGCTCAGCCTGTAATCCCACACCTTTGGGAGGCTGAGGTGAGTGGATTGCCTGAGCCCGCAGGTTTGAGACCC